CCCCCCCCCCCCCCCCCCCCGGTGTACGATGTGCAACAAACTCTCCTACCACGTTCGTATCACCTCCTCGGCCAGGCGTTCTCGCAGGCGAAGCGCCGCTCGCAGCCCCGTATCTCCGCCCGACACGCACAGCTCCTCCGCCACCGTGGACGCGTCCCCGTCCCCGAGCCGCGCCAGGCCCGCGCCGGCCACCCCGTCGCCACCCCACCGGCCGGCGGCGCGGAGCGCGGCGGCAGCGCTGGCGCCATCGCCGCCGATGGCGGTTGCGTCGTCAATGAGGGCGATCCCGTCCAAGACTCCGCCCATGGCGATGTGCGCCCGCGCCGCCGTGACGAGTAGGGACACCTCGGCGTCCCAGCGCCGCCGCCAGTGGCCGTCGTCATCGTCTTGGGTGTCGACGTCGTCGGTGGTGAGAGGGTATTCCGGGAGGAGCGCCGTGGTTCGGGGCTGCAGTCCCGAGGCTTCGGCACGGACGTAGAGGGAGTGCGCCTGTGTTTTTTTTGGTTTGTCCATTTTGTTTTTTGGTGATCCGGGTATTTCTTGAAACACTTACATGTCGCGGAATGGGCGGGGAAGACCAAGATTACGACAAATGAAAGGGCTACAGCCGTAAAACTGGGGTCAGCGCAACACCTTCCGCTGGGTCGGGTGCGGCACGAAGAGGAGACGGAAACCAAAGGAGCTTGATCGAGACGTGCACACAACGCCTGCAAGCCCGCGGAATGGGACAGGTGCGTGTCCTAGGACCTACCCCGGATGTAGGCGCACGGGAGCGTCTCTCTACCTGCCTTCACGCGACTCGCGCCTTCAAAACCACCCACATTTATTGTATGAAACCGGAATTTTTCTACGTCAACACCCCTCTAACTCGCCTCTAGGGCTATCTCTGGGAGAGCCGAGCCCAGGCACCGCGCTGCGAGCTCCGCGAACTCCTCAGCAGCAACGGCTGCCGCGGCCACCGCCGTAGAGTCGTGGCCGCTTCCAACGCTCCCACTCTCAACCCGGACGCTGGTGTCGATATTAGTATTACCAGTGCTGCTTCTGGTGTCGCCGGCGTTAGCGCCGTCACCGCTAGCGGGAGGTATTGGCGCCGACGACGATAGTCTGCTTGTTCCGGTCTCACCACCATTGCTGCTGCTGTTGCTGCTGCTGCTGCTGCTGCTGCCGACACCACGGCCGATGACAACAACGCCGTCACTAATAGAAGCGTAGCTACTAGTCCCGTCGCTTCCGCCGTAGGCGCCCCCACTCGATACGACGCCGCCCGTGCTACTAGCATAGGAGCTTGCGGAGGAGTAGGAAGGGGAAGGTGACGGGGGGGGCGAGGCAACCGGAGGCGGCAGGGAAGACGAAGCGGGGGAGGCAGAGGAGGACGTCGGAGAGGCGGCCGAAACCTGGGCCCCACGATACTTGACCACGGCCTGCCGCAACAGCTCCACCGCGTCTGCTCGGGCAATTGGCTCCAGCCGCCGCCCGCGCCACCCCCGCCCCTTTCGCTTCCTCGTCTTGGCCGTTGTCGGCGCTTGGGCTGTCTTCTTTGCGATGCCTTTCCTCTTTGCTGCCAACCCCTGAGCTGCCACGCCCTTCTTCTGCGATCCCGCGACCGCAGACGGCGCCGCGGCACCACCGCTTGACGACGCAGCTTCGGCCGTCCTTGTCGGGCTCACGCCGAACAAGGGTCCGGCACCTCCCTGCTGCTGCTGCTGCTGCCTGGCCAGCGTTGCTCTCTGGGACACCCCACGTTGCGCCTGCACCATCGGGATGGAGTTGTGTACGTCGCTCCTCACGCGCCGCTTCGCTGCCGAAGGAAAAGGGAGAGAGGGGGGGGCGGGCGGGCGGAAGAACAAACTCAAGACGAAGACTGCAACGAGAATGCCCCAGAGTTCATATGCCATATGCATGAAGGAGAAGCATATTGCTTTGCTGTGCGCTTGCAGCTCCTGTGTGACCTGCTTGAGTTCTTGCCTGAAACGCCAAAACAAGTCCTTCTACACCAAACTTATCAGCACAGGAGGAATATGTACAAGCAGGCGATCGTTGAAAGCACTCCAAGATCGCCTCGATACCCGGTTGATTATTCGTCAGCGCCGTCACAAATGAGATATATCCATCCGATGCCATTCCTTTAAAAGAACGCACCTGAAAATGCCCTCATCCCCATGCCCCTTCTCCCCGCAGCCGCCCCGCCTGCTGCTGACGCCTCGAAACCATCACCAGCCTTCCGTCGGCCAGAAAAGGCGGACGACGACAGGGGCGAAGTCGATCTCTGCCACGATGCTCGCTGTCGAGGGCTGACGCGCATCCCCTCGGCGACAGCGGCGGTGCCTGCCCGCGCCGCAAGCGGCAGCAAAAAGGCGGTCAACACGTGGTGTTGCCAAAGGTGACGGAGGACGGGGGGGGGCGTACTCTTATGTTTTGCATGTCTTAGCGGTTAGACCATTGACCACGCGTCCTCGAGAGGACGGAGTATTGTTCCCACAGGACCGACCACCGATGGCCAATCGTTCCTTCCTACTTTGCCAAAGGTGGCTCAAAATTGTCTTCCCTAGTCTGTCTATCCTAACCATATCCCTTCCCGCCTTTTCAACCCACCTCCTATGCCCCAGTACAGCTTCCGTCCTTTCCTCTCTATTCCATTCCTCAAACATCTCCCTGTACGTCCCATCTATATTTCCCAGCTCAGTCACGTACACTTCCCTCTCCTTCTTGTACCACGGACATTCCGCGACTACATGAACACGGTCTTCGCATTCGAAGCCGCAATCACATTTGAACTCGTCGTCTTCCTCGTCTACCGTCCTATGTCTTCGTCGACGTTCTCGAAGGCCTATGTCCCCGGTCCTGAATTTGACCTTAAGCTTTGTTCCTGCATCCATTGGTCCATGTA